GCCATCCACGGACTGCATGCCACCTAAGAGGCCTGCGGAGGATACTCCAGATTCCAACGACCACCTGTTTCCAGGAGGGTGGTAGGAGTACAGAGGATTTACGTTTTTTTTCTATTGAGATCTCAATATTTTATTTGTTACTTTTGAATTAATTTTTTTGGGTCGAACCTGATACCATACAACTGACGCGTCAAATTGGAAAGAAGTGACTGAACTGCACCTTATTGGGATAATCTGTTTTTGGAATATTGTTCTTATCTTGTTCAGGCCCAGGTCTGTTTGGGAAGTATAAGGGTCTTGTTGTTGAATGATATTGATTAAGTTTTTTTCCTGAAATACATTTATTTTTGTTATAAGTACGTGAGTGTGTGCCTTATTGGGGATGGAGGTTTCTTCTCCTCACTCTGTGTAGAGTGCCATCACCAAGCTCCTTGTGAACCCAAGATAACTGTACCCTATTGTGTAGATATAGACCTTCTGTTGGTTTTCATTCATCAGATTAGATATTTAGAGAGCATTTGACTGCTAAATTTAGAAGGGTGACAGCAGAGAGAGAGGGACTCACATACATTAACGAGTAGTGAGTCCTCATATGTGTTACACAATAAAACACTGCTTTTCCTAAAATTCTCAAACATGCGTAACTGTGCTGTATTATCTAAATGATAATATACTTGGTACATATTTTTCTAATATGGACTTGAACACATTTCTATCGATGTAGTCTAGTTGTAACTGCATTATCATGATTGCAATTTTAAGTTTTCATTATATGTGGCATGTGTAATTATTGATCGTGATGATGTACTGCAAAACACAGCCAATGTAGTTATAAAACGGCACTGATTTAATCTACTGTTAATATTTAGGACCTTAATAGCCATCTCACAAATCAAATACAATGACCAAACCCACACTGAAAAAGAAACGCAAATTTAAAACTATATAGAAACAATAAATTATGCACATACCCATGCTGTGTAAGGTATATAGTCCATTTGTTTTTTGATTTGAATATTGATGACTCATACTGTATGCAGACACACAGATCTAGACGTAAATACACATGATATCACTAGTCACATTGAGGAATGATTAGTGACCTGTTCAGAGACCAAGACTGATTACCACTGACTACCAATCAGATGATCACTTTGATTAATCCAGATTCCGCTCACACCATGAGAATAACAGATGGTGAGTGAGAGTGGATAGATGGATAAAATACTGACAAATTTTAATCAACATATTTGCTGCAGGCAATAATTGAGTGACTAATTTCTTCCCAATATTTAACTATACGTCAAATGCATCTGTGTGGACCACAGATTACAGTGCAAAATATTTGCTGAAATTACATGTATTCAGAGATGAGTGTAGATATGGGTGCTGCTTATGTCAAGTGATCTTTCATACCACATCCTGGTCCCCATCAGTCCTGTACTCCTGCTTGCTTTGGTCTTGGCCCTGTAGTCTCTGGTAGGTGACAGTATACCAGTCTATAGTTGTCTCATAAACCACACGGGGACGCTCCCATGTCACTACGATGGTTGTATCATTCTGGGCATCAGCCTGAACATTTTGTGGCTCAGAGCTGCAGGCTGGAGACAGAAGAAAAAGAAAAAGATTGGTAAAACCATTAAATTATTAATTTAGGTGGATGAGATGCACAAAAATGCAATAAAAAGCCTGACAGAAAGAGATTAAAAACATGACAGAAACAGTCACAACTGGACATCTAAATCTGAACATATTTCATTATGTTCAGGGTTGTTAAAGGTAACTTGATGTTAATCAAATGTACTGAAAATGGAAAAAATAGGAATACTTCTTCAAAAGCCCAGTTCAGGAGCTGAGTGCCATGATGAGTGGGAGGTGTATGTGTGTGCATGAATTTGTTACAAGCAAAAGGCCCTTTGTATATGTTATTTCAGTTTTTAAAAGAGCTGCACAATTAAATGCCTGCACCGAGAAGTAGGGTCAGTGAACTACAAAGTCGAGGTCCCTGGCAACCCAAGAGAACCACTTTACCCAAGGACCAACTTTATGAAGATGGAGAGCATTGTGAATTAAATCTTTTGTTAATCACAATGAGTCTGACCTAGAAGGACAGTGTTACTACTACCAAAAGGTAGAATATTTTCAGTCAGGGTCAGTCAGTAAAATTAATGATGTAATAATTTATATTAATCTCTGAGGGAGGGATTTAATTTTCTTTACCCATGCTGCCCAAAATATACTGCTGTATAAAGTACAAATCCTGTTTCCAGAAAAGTTGGGACAATTTTCAAAATGCAATAAAAACTAAAATTTATGATTTCTTTATTTGCTTGAACCTTGATTTAAATTACATAAGTACAAAGAAAAGTGTTTTCACTGACCAACGTAATTGCATTTTGTAAATATAAAATTTAGAATTTGATTTGAATTTGCAACACACAAAAACTTGGGACTGAGGCTTAATAAGAAAAGGTTATTGAATACTCCAGCAACACTCTTTTGGAATACTCCAAAATTAGCAGGTTAATTGGTAACAGGGGAGGGACCATGATTGGGTATAAAAGGAGCATCCACCAAAGGCTCAGTGTTTGCAATCAAGGATGGATCATGGCTCACCACTCTGAGCCAAACATGGTAAGAGAATTGTCAGTCAGTTTTAAAAGGATATTTCTCAACACAAAATTGTAAACAATTTAGTTCTTTCACTATGTACAGTCCATAATACTGTGAAAAGATTTAGGGAATGTGGGGAAATCTGAGTCTGTAAAGGCCAAGGGTGAAAACCACTGTTGAATGTGTGACGTTCGAGCCCTCAGGAGGCACTGCATGAGAAATCATCAGGCTACCATGATGAATATAGCCACATGGGCTATGGAGTACTATGGAAAACTGTTGTCACTTAACACAGTCCACAGCTGCATCCAGAAATACAACATTAAACTCTTAAGCAAGGAGAACACCATACATCAATTCTGTGCTTAAGGACTGCCAATTTCTCTGGTCCCCAACATATTTTTTTTTCTTTTTATATTTTTTTTGTATAGTGCAAAATCACAACAAAATCATCTCAAGACACTTTACAAAGTAAGGCCTAGACCTTTTTATTATAATTATTATTAAAGGAAAAACAAATTGCCCTTGAGCAAGAACTTGGTGACGTCAGGGAGAAAGGTATCTGCAGAAAGGTACAGGGAGAGAGAGGGCACACTATGCAAGAGACACACAGTTAGTGACAAGTATATAGGAGCATGGAGAGGAGCACCGTTGGACAAACCCTCAGCCTAGGCCTATAACTAAAGGATGCTACACCTTATCCTAGAATGCGTGTCCATTAATTTCACAGACATCACTACATGGTCACAAGCAAAGACCATCCTATTGGCTAGAAACCACTGGTACGGTTAAATATACACAGTGGCAACAGGACAGCCAAGGCCCCCAGTTTGCTTGCAGCTACCAAGATGGCTGTCACTCTTATCCCTGTTCAGCCATATTAGTTGTTCTGATGTCATGAAATATTGGTAGACATATCGCAACATACCAAGTACCTTTCTACCCTCCCTCACTGTCCTACGAGGATTATATTGAAAACAACAATATTATATTAAGCTAACTATCTTCTTCTTCTACTTTTGGCTGTTCCAGTTAGGGGTCACCACAGCGAATCAACAGTTCCCACTGAACTGACAATGTACACATCAAACTTGGGATGTTTTTATATTAAGCCAACTATAAGCTTTATCAAAAAGGAAAGTCTTAAGTATAATCTTAAAGGCAGAGAGGGTGTCTGCCACCTGAAATGACACTAGGAGCTGGTTCCACAAGAGAGGAGCTTGAAAGCTAAAGGCTCTGCCTCCCATTCTACTTCTGTGGACTCTAGGAACCACAAGTAAACCTGCACTGTGAGAGCGAAGTGCTCTGTTAGGTTGATAAGGCTCTATGAGGTCTTTAAGATACGATGGAGCCTTGTCATTAAGGGCTTTATATGTTAGGAGAAGGATTTTAAATTATATTCTGGATTTTACAGGGAGCCAGTGGAGAGATGTTAATATAGGAGAGATATGATCTCTCTTGCTAGTTCCTGTCAGTACTCTGGCTGCAGCATTTTGGATTAACTGGAGGCTTTTTAGGGAACTATTGGGACATCCTGATAGTAAAGAGTTACAGCAGTCCAGCCTGGAAGTAACAAATGCATGGACCAGTTTTTCAGCATCACTATGACAGAGGATGCTCTTGATTTTTGCAATATTGCACAGGCAGTTCATGAGACTTGGTTTATGTGATTTAAAGGACATATCCTGGTCAAAAATGACTCCAAGTTTCCTCACAGTAGTACTGTCATCTAGAGTAGCTATATGGTTATGTAGCATATTTCTAAAATTTTCTGGCCCAAGTACGATAACAAGGAGTCAAGGACTAAAGAGTAAAGCATCAAATTAGGCTCATCCATCTTTTATCTATACTGCTTATCCTGGTGAGGGTTGCTGAAGCCAGAAAAGTAATTAATAACTGTGGTTGCCAAAAAAAAAGTAGTGGAGTAACAAGTAAAATATTTCTCTGAATATTAGAAACATTAATTGGCAATAAACAAAAATATTCAAGTGCTCAGGTGCCATATTAGTTGTGCTCAAGTACAGTATATATACAGTTTGTCTTCCTATGATTGAAAAAGTTGTTAACATGAAAATCAAGTAACTAAATGGGAAATGTAGTGACGTGGTCTACACTGAAATTAAATAAACTGAATTAACTCAAAGTTAGTTCAAAATCAGAAACAAAGGACAGTGAAACAAGCAGAAAAACTGTTTAATTCGGTGTTTGATGACATACTGGGTGTGCGCACATCTTCCACTCCAGTGTATGAGACAAACACCTGACCCATGAACTGTTGCTGCTGCTCCCTGAAGTTGTTCTGCAGGTAGTCGGTCAGCATCACATATCCAGCCTGCTCTATGGTCATTACCTCACAAAATACCTCCAGCTGGTGACAAAGAGGCACAAAGTAACAGAACAAACAAATAAAACATTGAAACAGAACAAACAAATAAAAGAAAGATATCTCTGGCAGCTGCCAAAATAAACCCAAAACTGATGCATACAGTGGGGCAAATAAGTATTTGATACACTGCCGATTTTTCAAGTTTTTCCACGTACAACGAACGGACAGTTCTGTAATTTTCATCGTAGGTACACCTCAACTATGAGAGATAGAATCAACAAAAAAATTCCAGAAAATCACATTGTTAGATTTTTAAATAATTTATTTCCATTTTATTGCATGAAATAAGTATTTGATATCATAGAAAAATAGAACTTAATATTTGGTACCGAAACCTTTGTTTACAATTACAGAGGCCAGATGTTTCCTGTAGTTCTTGACCAGGGGCCTATTTCAAGAAGGCGGTTTTGTCGAAACTCAGAGTTTGTTAACCCCGAAATGAGGGAAACTCTGAGTTTTCGGTTTCAGAAACGGAGGTAACTTAAACCCGTGAAAGCGGGGTAAGTTAAACCCGTTTCACAAAGAGAGGTAATCTAAACTCAGAGTCAGTTACTATGGCAACTTACTCTGTGAACCTAACCTGC